CAGAACCTTCCGACTTTTTATTACCTAGCTGTCCTCGAAATCTACATCGACGCGCTTCGCAATGATTTACATTGTTGACGCGCGGGATAATGTGTATTTACGCAAGACAAAAAACGGAAGAGTTTCTCAGGTTTCGCAGAAGTTTCCGGCAGAATCTGGCGTAATTTCTCTGGACTACCCTGAGTGGTGTGTCAAGTAGACTCTCGGCGCGTCCGTAGCATCCGAATGCATCCCGCGCGTTTGTAATCGCTGATTATTGGCCGATGCATCGCGCACGTGACCTACCGTAACGGGTGACAAGACAGTTTCGAACGGCTGAAAAGCGCGCGCGCCGATTGCGGGAGAAAATCCACGTCATTTTTAACCAACGGATAATGAGAGAAAAATGTTTGGCATTTGATGATATTACAATTAGAGTGTGAGATAATTATGATTGGAAGCACCATTTTTTTTATAGCTGATGCTGCTATAATATTAACTTTTAAAATCGTAATTACATCTACATTATCTAAAAAGTGAATCAGTGTATTATTACTTACGAATAATAACAGTAAATATTTGCTGATGATTACATCACAGTTACAGGTGTAGCACTGTAAGGTCAATAAGATTTACTTTTAGAGAGTAATTTTAATACATAGAATTATAAACATAATTATTATTATTACTAATATAATAGTTATAAAGTTGAACTTTTAATGTAATAATTACTATATCATGCAATTATAATCACAAACACCAAAACGCACTTTTCTTTTCACAATCAATATAGAGATCTCGAGATTTCAGCTTAATTTCTTGCGTATTTTTCCTTCTTTTCTCACCATAGTCCACGTGGTCCATTGAAGAGAAAAGGAGGAAAAAGATACGAACGGTACAAGCTCGGCTAAAAAGAATAGATTATCGATATCTACCAACAAATTAAAAATGAGCTCTCTAGATTATAAAACAATCATCTATCAGAAATATCCGGGCGATTGAGAGTAATAATAGCGCAGAAGTTGGTGCGTTTGATCTTCACAATATATTTCAATTCTTACATAAAATATCGATCGAACGTTTCAGCTCCATTCGAGCCATCTTCAGCGATAAAGTAATTACATGTGATGTTGTTGGTTGTACATCATGTGATGTATTAAATCGAAGAGTGCAGCAAGTAGAGTCTCTCAATTCCAAATTTAAGAGCGTAACTGTCAGAAAGCTGTATAGAATAAAAAAGAATTAGCGCAAGACAGTAGTGGAGAAGAAAGAATCTTGAAAAGACTTACCTACTGCACTCTTTGACTGCACCACATTATAATAATTTGTCAGAACGTAAATTAAGGAAGATAGTTCGACACCATTATGGACTTTGATGTCAAACAACGTTCGTTCAAAAATGAGCATTGAAAATATTATATTGAGTGTAAAGGAAAGTCATAGAATAAAATAATTTAAGACACTTGAGTCATGAGAGTATACATTATAAAGATAATCACACATATGGTAGTATATTATGTACATATTCAAAAGTCGTAAATTAAAAAATTATAATCATGTACTGTGTTTTTGACAAGTCAATTAATATGTCAAGAAATTAAAATTGAAGTCAACACATTCTACACTATTTTTTCATAAAAATTAATGTTAACTTATTAATAAAAAATAATGTGATTTCAAAACTTGTTAGAAATTGCTTAAATAACCATGGATGTAAAAATTTAGTGTCATTTTGTGTATTTAAACCATTATCTTGTAACTTGATATTGAGCATTTCCGACACTAATCTTTTCCCCAAATATCTTTCATTATCTAATATTATGGTGTTATCAAAATCAAATTCATGTTCAAATTGTAATCCGTGTTCCGAGATGATTGACAGTTTTCTCATTTTTTTGTTAATGTCATTACGGTATCCCTTAATTGTAATATTCAACTTTCTCCCTACAGCCTGTCCTACGATGCGTTGCAATTTTTACAATCTATCTTGTACATTACATTTTTCTTTGAATCATGTTTAAGTGAATCTTTTTGAGCCTTAATAATACCATCAAGTGTCAAAAATAAACTTGATGAGATAATCATTGTCTAAAAACGTTTTAATAATAAAATTTAAATTATCCTCATGATATTTGGGGTGAGATAATAAAAATGTTCTGTCCACCATATTCATAAAAACACCCTTCTTTTGAGGAAGAGGGTGGAGAGATAAAAAGTTGAGATAGCGTCCTGAGAAGGTTGGTTGTGAAATACATTAAATCCCAATTTACAATTCGAATTAATGATCGTGATATCGAAAAAATTCAGTCTTTCACTTCCAACCTCCAAGGTAAATTATATTCTCGGATGTAATGAGTTAAAATTACTGAGAAATTCATTAAGATGATTCGGAACCGCCGTCGCAATCATTAACATATCTATAGTAAAAAGGTATTTCGTGACCAAATTTCTCCAATGCTTCTTTTTCCAGATCCTCTATTATTAAATCTGCAATGATGGGCGACAACGGAGAGCCCATAGGTGTCCCAAACTCTTGTTTATAAATTCTTTTATCAAAAGTGAAAAATGTAGATTTCAAAACAAACTTTAAGACTTTCAAAAATTCATTTTTAGGAATGTTACAAGACCGCGAGATAAAATGCCACCTTTCATTTACACTTTTTAAAGCTAGATCAATGTAATTTAATTCATCAAGTTGTGCTCCATTAAGATTTTCTACCAATTTGTAACTATTTTGTATGTGGCTAAATGGTTTAGGAATATTATCTTTGAGTATGTGGTGTAAATGTATGGTATGTGCTTTGGTCATCAAACAGATTAATCATTTTTTTGTCTGTATTCATCTCGATCTAAAGCAACAATAACGTTGCCTTTGTCTGCTCTAGTGAATAAAATATTCCCGTTGTTGTTGACAAATTCTCTGGTTAATTTGAGCAATTTAGTTATTTTTTTATTAATGAAATTATTATTCGGTTTCATAGAAACAATTTTTCCAACGATAGGAATAGAATGATTTTTCAACTCGAACAAGGTAGTATTACCTAATTTTTTTTACGTTGTTTTTAATATTCTTAATTAAGTCCACACAATTGTTCTTAATATTATACGATGGTAAAGCAAAATTACTGCCTAGTTGTAATAAACATTGAATTTCTGTTCGGAATCAACTTATTAGATAGATAGATTAATGAACCATTTGTTTTTTTGTGGAATTTAACGGGAAAATTTCATTCGTAATATCGGTATTTACTCTTCAACAACTTTTTCTAATTCTTGGAACTGTGAAAGGAAGGATAATAAAAAGGATGGTAAATTAAACAGAGATTAAAGTTAATCTGCACACACACATTGGTAGAAGCGAGGATTAATCGGCACCACGTTCGTGCGACAGGTCGAATCGTCTCGAAAGTCAAGCGCATTGTGTCACCGGTGGATCGTGTCGCACGCGCGCACGCACGTCCAGTTGTTACGGTCGGAGTCAAAACAATGCGGCTTCGTCGGTCGTCCGCGGCTCTCTGTGAGGGGAAAACGAGGAAAGTCGACGCCTCGCGCCCCTGCTTTTATCGTCTCGTACGCGATTCATATCCGTTTCGACCAACGTAGATTAACTTTAATTTTGACTCAAGTTACTTTTTATTTTTTTCTAATTTTTAGAACTAGATAAAAAAAAATGAGGAGAGTTAGTTGAATCGTTAGTTAATATTAAATTACATTGGTAGACGAGTATTAATCGTGTACCGATATGTATTATAAAAAAAAAAAAAATCATTTTTGTTTGAACAATACCAACTAAATGTTTACTAAATATATAAAGATTTCTTTATTTGACACCATTAATTTGATCATATTTTCTTATTGAATAAATGCTTACTGTAAATAAATATTTAGTTGATATTATTCAAATAAATATTTTTTTAAATTTAATATAATAAAATAAAATTTAATTTAATATAATAAAATGTAAATTTAATTTAAATTTTATTATATTAAGTTAAAAAAATATATTTATATTGTTAAATTTTATATATTAATTTTTTTATATTTAATACACATTAATTTTTTTCTCAGTATAAACAATATGCCTGTAAAACAAATCGATCTGCCTCGATAATCATGGAGAAATACCATTTTTACGGCTGTTTTAGATTTCTTTAAAAATCGCGTATACAATTTTAAGGAACTTTCTTTGAAAGCTAGAAATTTGATTTTCAAACTATATGGCTTCCGCGTAAGTCGCATCTAACAAATAAATGGTTGCAATGAATAAATTTCACTCGATCTTAATCGATTTTAAAACTTATAAATAAAAATTAATTTGAGGTTATCGAGAAATTCGTTTGCAGCGGTCGTAGATCGAAATGAGTGAAGGTTCAGTCAAGCGTAAAACTAATAATCAGATATTCGTAAACGATATTGGAGCGATGTAATTTCACGCATAAAGGCACGATGCGCGTATTGTCGCCCATTCGCGTTTCGCAATTGGCTCATTGACTGGCGCACTTGTTCGGGAAGCACGTGGCCTCATTGATAATCAAAAAGACGAGAAACGAAACGGAAAAAAAAGACATACGCCTCTGAACGCTCGCTGAATCTCACTTTCAAACATGTTCCGAGAAAAATTGAAACTCGCGTCCACGAAATGCGCCGAAGGAACGAATCGTTGAGAATTAAGATTGCATTCCAAAACGTTCTCTTTCCGAAGAAAATATATTGCATTACATCAAGTAAAATTTTCTCAGAAAGTACGAAAGGATAGAGTACATACTCTTTAAATCTTTTCGAATGAACTGTCACTCGACAAAGAGTCAATCTTCAAGAGTGAAATCTTACTCGTAAAGATTGACTCTTTTTCGAGGCTGACTCAATTTTCATTTCTTAGAGTCAAGATTACGCCCCAAAGAATTCAGGGAGTAAGGCTGAGATAAAAATTATTGGCGAAAGCAGACGAACATGAATCAAAAGAAAAATCTGTCGACGACATCGTCTCCGCGGAGAAGCTCACAATCGTGACAGCTACGTACCTCACCATGACCTGACCCACAAATCAAATTGCAGCAGCGGCAGTAGCAGCAGCAGTAGCAGCAGCAGCAGAAGCAGATCGGTGGATCCGGGCTCCGTGGTAATCGCCAACCCCGTGCTGCTCCGAGATCCCGAGGGTGTGATGTACACACACTTTCGCCGTATATCAGATGATATAAACACACCGCCGCGAGGGCGCGAAACGAGAACGGTTCTCCTCCTCGTCTCGGAAGTGACGGTTCTCGCGTGCACGCATGCACGCACGCACGCACGCACGCACGCACGTACGTAAACTGTCACCCACGCACAGCCGGTATCGGCCGTGTCAAACCGCCGTGAGAGACACGCACGCACCGCGTTGGACACTGGCAGCTGTCACTCATGGATTGCCCGTGAAAACGTCGCGGACCGAAGTGGCATAGCGAATCACGGGGAAACAGAGACAGCGGGAGAGACTGGAGAAGGCGAGGAAGGGAGAGAAAAAGGGAGAGGGAGAGAAAGATGGAGATCGTGGCGCAGCGCGAGTCAGAGAGAAGGTGAAAGGGGGAGAAAGGGGAAAAGAGAAAGAAGGGGAGAGAGAGAGAGAGAGAGAGAGAAAGAAGGGGAGAAAGAAAGAGGCAGCGTCGAGCATGCATGCACACTAGGGGGCACTGCGATGGCGGCGACGGCGGCAGCGGTGGCGGCAGCGACGGATGGGCCGTGTTCCGTCGCGGACGGTGGCGCAAAGCGATTAAGCGATTTTGTTGTGGACCCCGATTCTTCCCTTCGTCGGCTCTCTCTTCCCGGCTTTCCACTTCTCCCGCGCACCGCCTTTCGCCTGACGCCTCTCCCGCTCCCGCTCCCGCGCCGGCCGCGCTACGCCGCGAACGTGCCCTAGAACGGAAACTCGGCTCTTTATCCCCACCACTGCTCCCCCCTCCCCTCCCTCTTACTCGACCCGAGTCCCGAGACTGCCGAGTCGTGCCGATCCCCATCCCCACTCGCCAATAACGCGACGCGTTAACCTCCAGGCCCGTAACATCCTAACAGTCCTAGCACCCGAAACCGCGCGCAGATACCCGAGTAGCAGAGGTTACTACTTTTAACACTAGTCCTGTGTTTTTTCTTTTCGTGAAACTTGTCGAACGGTTTATCTGTCCTCTTTCTCTCCATGTTGGAGAAAAAAAGAAAAAAAGATGAACGGTGCAAGAAGCTAATGTCCCTTGCTACCAATGTAGATTAACTTTTATCTCGGTTCAACTCTTCATCTTTTCTTAATTATTAGATTTAAAAGAAAAAGATGAAGAATTGGTTGAATGGAGATTAAAATTAAATCATATTAGGTAGTAGGAATGGGCACAAAACGAACAGGCTTGTTGACTACTGTAATGGTTGTTTGTAGATCTATATTCTATGTAGTTAAATTAGTGTATACATATTCATACTTAAAATAAAATATATTTGATATACATATATACATATAAATATTTGAAGAGATATATATTTCTGAAGTTTGGCAAAAGCGAGCAAGGAAAAGTATTAGTGTATAATCTATTATAGCGATGAAGAACAGTGACATTCGCATCTGATTTTTCAGTGGCGCCCTTCTGTTCATTATGACGATCGGCGCTTTTTTTAAAACGTTTGTAAAAACTAAATGTCATCCAATATAAGGTTTCTAATATAAATAGTTACATACAAGTAGCAAAACAAAGTGTGCTGTTTAACATGCTATCTGTGGATAGATTAATCATATTATACAATGTATGTTATATGTAAAATTTATATATATTGTATATCTATTATATATCTATCATATATATTTTATATCTCACATACTTTTGAATATTTCATCATTTTATATTTAATGAAAATTTAATGTGAAAACATTCTATATATATATATATATATACATGTAGAGAACTCATTGGATAGACATATTAAACATTCAATCTTTTTTTCACAATTACGATGTAACTTTTTAAATATTATAATACCAAATTGCCTAAAGGAGATCCTAAAGTCATCTGTATTACCGATTCAGTATGATTTACACATATGGTATACGATTCATGTGTTATTGACAATCATTACACACTATTCCATCAATATTACATATATATATAAATTTTCTAACAATCTTTTATGTCAGACATCTAAGTCTAATTATAAGAACACAATATTGTTTATTCATGTAATCCCTCGTTCAAATCAAAATCGTTTTATATGTACAAAGTTAGAACTTAAAAGCAAATATTGTAGCGAGTTGACGTCAGAAGCCGATAACAAAACTATAATTTTACCAACTTTTTGTCGTTTTTTACATAAGGTCGATCAATTTAGACTTTAGACTACATTATCGCTAATATTTTAATTGTGGAGAAGGAGTTTTTTAAATTTCTTTAAATTTATATGTCTGTGAGGTAGAGTTTAGGCCGAGAACGATAAACAATTTCGAAATTGAGATGTTCTGTTCCATTTCTTACAATTAGTTCAATATGGCCCTTCGAGCTGTCATATCGTAACAATATTGGCTGCGTTCAGCAGAGAAAACTAATCAATTAGCGCTTAGTGATTCTTTAATATGATTGGTTCTTACACTTAGATCCAACTACGAAGAACTAAAGGCAAGAACAAGAACGCAGCCAATACGTATAACAGCTGTACAATCTGTACTTATAAAATAGTCCATAGACTAGTAGTTTGCACGAAGAAGCAATGTGAAGTTCTTAAAATTGAACTTATTGTTAAATGTCGAATTAAAACGTTATTGTTGTCTGAAAATTTATGTGTATATATGGCGTGCGTGAGTGAGATATTGATGTAGTAATGTGTCAATGATACGTAAATCATTTGTGTGTAAGTGTTATTTACAGTATAACTAATCGTCTTTAGGATCTCCTTAAGTATCTGCAAATTTAAATTCATTCTCGTACAGCTGGAGTGTAAACAATTTTGAATCAAATGACGCAATAAAAAATTCAAGATATGAACACAAATTGGAAAAACCACTTAAAATTTTCAAAATTTTTTCTATTCAAATTATTTTCTCTATGAAGAAAATTTTTAGAATGCAATAATTGATATTACCTTATTATTGATTAATAATCGTTTTCACTTATACAACAATATAGATTAACTTTAATCTCGGTTCAATTTTATTCTTTATCTTTTTCTAATTCTAAGAATAAGTTGAATAAATATTAAGGATGCATCTAGCTATTTTTAAATATGTTGATATTCATACTTTAGATAAATTATATATATATATAAAAAATTTGCATATATTTCTATTACAACACTGATAAAAAAATATACTACTTGTTATTAAAATACTTTGGATCCAGATGGTAAATTTTTTGCATTTCTTCTAAATGCGATATAGAGTAATTTGTAATTTTTTTCATTATTTTGAAAGTATGCAATATAATACGTTCTTAAAATGTACATTGGTAGAAACGGGTATAAATATCTAATTAAAAACGTAATGTATTTAAGCTATAATATGCCTTTTCTGAGTTTGCTGCTGTCTATCATTCAGAGCATTTGTTCCGCTCTCTTTCTGGAAAACAGGGACTTGTCCCAGTATTCTTCCTTATCGTCGCAGTCAGTCGCGGTCGAGGAAACCAGAGTTACCAGAGGTGACCAGAGGAGGAAGCGGAGGAAACGCGGTCACGTCGCGTGCCCGTGACGCTCGCGCGACGGCGACGCTCCTGGATCGTTCTCTTTCCTCCCCACTGTCGTCGCTTCGTCGATGCGCAGAAAGCGAATCGGCGGGTTCTGCGCCGCGTCTGGGAGCGCTGCGACCGGGGCGAGCTCCGTTTCCGTGCGTTCCGGCGTTGTCCTCTCGCAGAAACTGATCGATCGTTAGCGCGTTTCGCGGCAGGGCTATTGTGTAAAAAGGACTCATGACGCTTGGGTAGTGCACGCTGAGGAGTGGACCCGTAGTTTTTCCCCCCCGAAGTTTCGTCCTCTTGTGATATTTAGACTGTGCCAATAGGTGAGTAGGAAAATAATCTGCTTCTCTTCTCCATCTGGCGTTCTCGGGTTCTCTACCGTCTCTCCTCGCCGCGTACTTTCGCTCGTCCCGGTGGAAAGTTTCGTGGAAAATCAGGTCGCGTTCCGCCATGTCGCGTTGCCGCGTTCTCACGCTCGCGTTCCTTCGACGAGGAAAATCGCACGTTTCTCATTCCGCGCGTGCGGAATCGCCCGGTTTCAGCGACATTCCTGCCTTCAGAAAAGCTGGAAGGAATTTTCCCCCGAGATTTTTCGACAGTTTTTCGCCATTTTGTCGCGCCCGTGAACGAGCGAGGTCGGCCATTACGCGCGATCGTTAGCGGGTCCCACGATGTTGATCGGCAACGGGATCTTCGAGGATCTTTCGCCGTTCCGGGCCGACGCCCGACGCACGTGGGGATCGAGAAACGCCGGATCGATATTGCATTTTGAACGGATTATCTTCTAATGAAGATAGTACACCGTTTTCTCTCTCTCTCTCCCTCTCTTTCCGACACTCTAATATATAAGTATGTTCGCATTGCTTGTACTTTTTGCATTTAGTATCTTTTTTTCTTTCTTCAACGACCAAATATATATTTATCGCCTTTCAAGTGCAAAAATTGTTGGGACTTTCAGGCAATGCGAACAGACCTTATGTTTATCTCGTAGTAAGTGCACAAATTTTTGGGAGTTTCAAACAACGCGAACAGACCTATATAATCGATACGAGCGAGC